ACATTTATTCGCTCTCATCACTGTTCTTATAAAAGATTTCTGACAGAAATGTGTGAACCTGTGCAGAGCAGGTGTTATGTAACTTCACACCGACATTATTTTCGTCCAGTTTTGAAGGAAAATTGAAACTCGGGCAGAAAATTTACAGCTTTTCTTCAGATTCCGGTGTAAATGACGTGTCTTTGTTTGTCAGTAATGTCTCGTACTGAAGGTGGAGAGGCGGCGAAGGAGGTGACTTCATCAGCATCCACTGGACAAGGTGGGATTTTAAACTGTTCATATGGAAATAGTTTACATTTAAACACAGGAATAAGGACTTTAAACAGTGTTTCCTGTTTATTAATTCGGCTCTAAGTGTAATTTCAAGTGCTAATTTTTCTCTTTTCCACTCCTGCAGAGGATTGCGTCACAACCAACGCAGCTGAAGCCACACAGGAAGCAGCGGTCAAGAAGAAAGGGAAGCTGTTCGTATGCGACGTCTGCAGCAAGAGCTTCAACCGGCAGTTCCACCTGATGAAGCACATGAACACGCACAAGGAGCAGCGGCCGTTCGCCTGCGAGCAGTGCCCCAGAAGATTCAGGAACACGGCGACGTTGGAGTACCACCTGCTGCGACACGAGGAGAAGAAGCACGCCGCCTTCGGCTGCCAGCTCTGCGAGAAGACCTTCAAAACCAGGATGCACCTGAAGACCCACCAGCTGGTTCACACGGACACGCGACCGTTCGTCTGCTCGTCCTGCGGGAAAGGCTTCAAAACCAAACACAACCTGCAGGCTCACCAGGTGGTGCACGCGGTGGAGAAGCCGCACAAGTGCTCCGAGTGCGGCGAGGGCTTCAGGTACGCCTTCACGCTGCAGTGCCATCGAAGCGTCCACACGGGCGAGCATCCGTACAAATGCACGGTTTGTGGCAAGGCCTTCGTGAAGAGGCGATCGCTCAGGACGCACCAGTCGGTCCACAGAGGGAAGATGTTCACGTGCGAGACGTGCGGGGCGGGTTTCACCCTGCAGCACAACCTGAAGAGACACATTCGCATCCACACCGGGGAGAAACCGTTCAAGTGCAAAGTGTGCGGGAAGAGTTTCATCCAGGACAACAAGCTGAAGGCGCACATGCTTCTTCACGGAGCGTCGAAGGCGTTCATGTGTGACCTGTGCGGGAAGACTTTTCTGTACAACTGCCAGCTGAAGAAACACCAGAAGGTCACCCACGATGAGCGACACGGGCAGGTCGCGAGGAGGCGAACCCGAGAGCGAGGCAACCGCAGAGTCATCTACCGACGGGACAGAACGACGGTCAACGTGACGCCGTTCAGCTGCAGGACCTGCCACAAGGGCTTCGACACCGCGAGCTCGCTGAAGAGGCACGAGCTGATCCACACGGGGAGCGTGCGACACAGCTGCGACACGTGCGGCAAGTCTTTCTTCTACAAAGCCACCTACGATTACCACCTGCGGATCCACTCGGGGGAAAGGCCGTTCGGTTGCGACGTGTGCGGGAAGCGCTTCATCATCCTCCAGGCCCTGAAGTCCCACAAGCTGCAGCACTCTGGAGAGAAACCGCATAAGTGCGAGCAGTGCGGCAAAGCCTTCAGGATCTACACAAACTACCAGAGACACCTCCGGATCCACACGGGAGAGAAGCCCTACGAGTGCGAGGTGTGCGGCGTGAGGTTCAGGCAGCTCGGACACGTCAAGTTTCACATGCAGGTCCACACGGGGGAGAGACCGTACTCCTGTAGCAGCTGTGGACTCGGGTTTTCAGACTCAAGGCTGCTCAAAAGACACAACTGTAGTGGGAAGTACCAGAAAGTATTAGCAAACACACTCACAACATCCTGAAAGAACGTATTCACCAAAACAGAAGCGAACCAAAACTACGTTAGCTTCGGTCGCCGGTCAAAAGTTCAAACTCCACGGATAATTCACACAATCTTGTCGCAGATAAAGTTGTTTTTAGTGTCTTAGCAACACGGTGCCACTGAAATGTTTAATTGTGCGCGTTGGAGTGTTCAACACCCGGTTTAAATAAACGACGTGTTGAATCACATCACTCATGGATCTTTTTGTTCAGCACTCGATATGTTGAGTTTAAAACCGTAATCCTCTGAACTGACATCGTTTACTCCAGATTATAACTTTAGTTTATCAGCAGTCTGATCAGAATCCGTCAACGCTTCAGTTTATTTATCTTTACTTGTGATGGTCCAGTTGATATTCTTTATATTGTGTGTGTTAGTAGAGACAAAAGAACCAGCAGCACTACAAGAACCCTGATTGATATCTCTGAAGAATAAAACTAATAACTACCTACAGAGGATAAAGCAGCGTATAGAAGATAGATTGATGGATGGATGGAGTTCTCTTCAGCGGTTTAGGCAAGTTTCAGACTATGAGGTAGTAATATAGACCAAATAAAACTACAGACATTGACCCAGAGTACTGAGCAGTAGAGAAATATACCAGGCTAATTTAAATATAAAGCTAAAAACCCGACAATAGAAACTTTTACTAATGTTTAGAAGAATACTAACACAACATTTTAATATTTTCTCTTTATTTCAAACTACCGTTTCAGGTATTTTTATGTTGAAAGTGCTGACCGGAAATGCCTCTGTGTGTTCATGTCTAACTTTACGCTGCGAATTGCTGTAGTTCCTCACTGTGGCCGTTAGAGGGCAGCAAATATCCACGAGTTTACATGATGCTCTTCGAGAAAAATACTTGAATCGCTCTTCTGTTGTGTTTTTATTTCTAATAATCACACTATTAATGTAGATATTGATGGCAGCGGTTAGCATAACAATAAAACTTTAGTGTTCCTCAGTTTTGAGTTAAATTAAACTAAATGTCAACACCGTCAAGTCGGACACGATACCACGACGGTGCTTCCGGTGGAAATATACAACAAAACAGATGTTATTAGTATATTTGTGGAATCTTTACAGGAGACACTGATGGCATTTTAGCATTTCTTTAATAAGACAATCTGTCAAAAATATTCATACGGCATATATGTAAGTAATATGCCACTATACTTCAGAATAATGATTCAGATAATAAATCATTGTTGCTTCTTTTTCTCCTGCAAACACACAAAAGAAATCCCCTCAAATATAATGCATACTGCTACTTCAGTTTTATATAATATCTGAGTCACAATAATGATAAAATCTAAACATAAATATATCAAAAACATAAAAGAGGAACTAATATTTTTTTTAATGTTTCTATAATCCACCTCTCAGACTGGATCAGGTTTGTCTATGAACTTTAGACTTTATAACACAAATTGGAGGATGTTTTTAGATTATATATATATATACCTTTTTGTTTTATAAGGAACACAGATAAGTAATTAAACCACAGTAATACAGACGTCTTCAGCACATTTTTTTTTGCGCTCTTATCGCTGTTCTTACAAAATTTCTGACAGAAATGTGTGAAACCCTAAAGAGCAGGTGTTATATAATGTCACACCTGCAGCAGACATTAGTTTTCGTCCAGTTTTGGAGGAAAATTGGACGCAGACACCATCAATCAATCAGACTTTATTTATATGGCACTTTTCATACAAACAGAAATACAACACAAAGAGCTTAAGGAATAAAAATGCCATAACTACCACCCTGCTGCTACCACACAGGACTATTTATTATAATAAAGTCCAGAATCTTTACTTGAGTGCAGCTCAGCCCACATCTGTTAAACCCTGAGCAGCGAGGAAGAATGCGTGCTTTTATTTTGAAGAGCATGAACCAGGAAGAAGAAGATGGATCCGTGTTGTGTTTTTCCACCGTAGCGACAACAGAGCCGCGATAAAGCAGCGGTTTAGTTTTTATTTCATCGCTGTTGAACCGCAGAAGAGAGCCGCCCGGAGCCGCCGTCATGTCGGAGCTGGAGGCGCAGGTCTGCTCCATCCTGGAGATCATGGTCAACGCCACCGTGTCGGAAATGAGCAAAGTTCTGGGCGGCTGCGGTCCAACTCGTCCACAAGTGTCCACATGTGCGCCGGAAAACACGCACGGCTCCTCGGAGGAGAAGGTACGTCCACCGGTGCCCGTTTACCGGCAGCCCAGCCGGCGTCGGTGCCGGTTCTGGTCCCGGTTCTCGCTGCTCCGCCGCTTCCTCCGCGACGGGCGACCAGCTGATCATAGAAATAGAAGAGCTAGCTGGATGCTGCGGCTAGCCGCCACCGACCCGCGCTGTCTGGGCCGGTTCGGCTGGTTTCATTGAATATTCGGGTTCGGAAACGTGTAAATGTGTGAGTCTCAGTGATGAAGGTGAAACGACAGCTCACAAGAATCCATGTTTGGGCGCCATTTTGAGTTGGACAGCAGGCCCGGGCCTATCTATCTGCTGTAGGTCTACAGGAGCCTCCGCCACAGGTCTCCTCTGGATCCATACCATAATATTCATTATTATAGTCATAAAGACAGTGAGATCAGGTCTCCTCTGGATCCACACCATAATATTCACTATATTTATTATTATAATCATAAAGACAGTGAGATCAGGTCTCTTCTGGATCTTTATCTTAATATTTTATTAATTACCTGAAAAGTTTTAGAAATAATTTTTAAAAACAAAACATAAATAATTTTTTCAACTTCTACAGATTGTTTGTCAGCTAAAACTTTTTTTTTTTTTTTTTAAGAGCTTATTTTATTGATTGTGAGTCCTTCTTGTGTATTTTTTAATTCGTCAAAAAAAAAAAAAGACTATTTGACGTCCAGCAACCTGCTGAATATGAAATAATCAGACATTTCACCAGTAAAGCTGCTTCTTCTCTCACTTCAGAAGCCTGAAAAGAGAGTTTCTGCTTCATAAATGACTTTAAAGGTTTCTTACTTTTAAAAATAGCAGATTGATGCCACAAAAAAACAGAGTTTGCTGAACTGAACAGAACTCAGCTCCATAAATGATGAAGCTCTTAAACAACTGAAGGCACCTAACGGCACATAAAGTGGTGAAATAACGTCTCCCTGCAGCAGCCACCACATTAAAAAGAAGCTTTTCCACATCCGTGCATCACTGATAAAAACCTGAACACTGGCCAACAACAGTGATGATGTCTGACTGTAACCTCAGTACTGAGTATTGGACTTTTATTTCTGCTGTGATATTATTTTTATTATTCACCGTTTCACCTCTTGTTGTTGTTTTTTTCTATGTGTAGTAACTTGTTTTCAAACTGAAACCAACAAAACAGAACAAACACTGCAAATATTTCTTTTTTTTAAACATGAAGCAGAAAAGTGAGCTGCCTGAGTCATTTGTTCAGCTTAAACCTGCACAGAATTTGTTTTAATTTCTCAAATTCACAAAGAAATTATAGATTATTTAAGGTTTTGCTTCTCTGTGACCTTTGACATCATGTGAGATAAAATAATAAATACGAATACTAGAGCTTTATTAGTCATAATTAGGAACAGATTTTTCTTTTTTTTTTAAATTGTCTTATAAAAATTCCTCATCTCTGCTCCTCTTGCTGGTTTTGTCTAAATGTGTTTCAGCCTTAAATAAGTTTATTCTGCGTTAACAGCTGGTTCCTCCTGACCCGCTGTGTGCTTCTCCTTCAGGTGATCCAGTTCAGCGTCTTCATGACGTCTCTGGCTCAGGAGGCCGTGGAGCAGATCTGCCAACTTTGCCACGAATATTCCTCGATGCTGCAGCTGGAGGTGCCTGGTTTTCCTGCTTCTGAGTGTTTATTTACTGTTGCAGTCATGTTTAGGGGAGAAAAATAAATAAAAACAGGTGATTTTCATTAGAAACTGTTTTTCTTTCTGCAGGTGACGCAGGGCGTAGCTGAGATGAAGGACCTGAGGAGGAGGCTGGAGGAGGCCGAGTCGGAGCTGAAGCTGGTGCTGGACGGCAGCGGAGGCCGGAAGGAGGCCGAGGAGCTGACGGAGGGAGGCGGCAGGGAGAAGGAGGCCAGGAGGGAAGGAGACGCCGTGGAGGGCAGCCAGCGGTCGGGAAGGAAGAGCCGCAGAGGTGAGCAGCTCGTCCTCCAGCTGGTAGCTTCAGAGTGACATTATTCCTGATTACAAACTGCATCGACACCTTTAACAGGAGCTACAGAAAGAGCTGTATGAATGAAGAAGAAAACATCTTTATTTTGTGCTTGTTGAAGCTCAAACATCACATTTTCAGCTGTTTTCCACCTCCAGTCTTCATGCTAAGCTAAGCTAAGCTAAGCTAACTAGCTGCTGGTTGTAGTGTCACATTTAACTTTAATGAAACGCTCCATAGATTCTAACAATTTATATCAGAATACAATAAAGATAAGAGTTTCTTTATGTCATCACATGAGGCTTTTCTTGCCGTTTAGTGTTTTTTTTAATGACAGGATGTGTGAGATATATTTAATAAAACGCTAAATAAGGACAGAAAGCAACTTCTTCAATTTAAATCCCTTTTTACCCAACGCTGAAACGATAAGGTCCACGCCTGAAGATGAAAAATAAATGAGCTAAAATTAGTGTAAAACAGAAAAATGTGAAGTAACACAGATTCTGAGGCAGTAAAGTGCCTTCACATAGGAAATGAAATATTGTAGATGAAATTTGAAAATGAAACTGATCATCAGAGCGTCTTTGTCAGAGAATCTTTCATGTCTTTGAGTTTTTACATTTTATTTCCAGAGACGGATGAAACACGTTTGTTTGTTTTGCAGTCGTGTCCGGTGGTGACGGTGGAGTCAAGAGGTCGCCTATAATTCATCTGTGGAAAGGCCGAACTTATGAGGTAAAATCCTGACTTTTCTTTTCTCCTTTTAACACTTTTATTTATGACTTATTCACTTCAAGTTGGATGGATTTCTTAAGAAACACAATCAGCTTTAGACCTAAAATGTTGGGGGCATTAAACATCAGAGGAGCCTCTGTCATGGCGCCCCGTCGCCAGCTGGTGGAGCAACCAGGTACTGCAGCTGATCTGCAACACATTTACTGGAAATACAAGTTTCTTTGGAGACACGTTGTAAACACCTTTAAGGACACGAAGGACAATAGAAATGGCTGCAAGTCACAGGCTGAGACCGTCCAGCAGCGAGATGGCCTCATAAGAGCCTCTACGAATGATGGGCGTCTCCTCTGGAGCAGTTAGCGACAGTTGAGGTGGAGGTGACACACAGAGCAAATCCTGAGCGATGGAAAATCAAGAACTTTCCAAATATCATTGCTGTCTGCGATGGTGGACGTTTATTGTGCAAAAACCTTGTTTATTGCTGGTGTCGTGATGTTGTAGCTCTTTGTGGAACAGACTTTATGTCAGGAGATGTTTGTTTTGGTTCCTAAACACCTTAATAGGATGCAGTTTATTTCACAATGCACTGCTGAGCTATTTAGCCGTCAATCACATACACTGGAATGATTTTAATAACTTTTATGTACTTGGAAGCGTGTACTCTCAATGTTCAATTACTCGGATTGGATGAGGGCAAAAAATCTCCCAACATGTGCAGCAGATCAGCGTCTATGTATTCCATCGCAGTGTGGTAACTAAAGATGGAAACGTTCACTCGGACTCTAGAGGACTCAGGGTTTGCTCTTGTGCTTAAAACCTGAGGGAAGAGTGTCGCTGAACGCTCCAACATCAGGATTTACCGAGACTAAAAGTGTTCCTTTAGCTCCCCAGCTCACCTCGTGTAGATGTAAATCTGTCCACGTGTCCTTATTGTCTCTCTGCTCTCAGGACAGCATCCAGCCAGTTATAATAAAGGAGGAAGGACTGGAGGGTCTAGCCGACCAGGCGTCTTCTGATTCTGGTCCGTACAGAGACGAGCCCGGCCAGGACGACGACGACGACCCAGACTACCAGGTGGGATTCACCGGCACCTCTTTGTCACTGATCAGGCTCAATGTTTTCATATTTCAGGTCAATTTGCAGTTTATTTTTTTGTTAAATTAGACCAAGAAATACTGAAGCATCAGTTCAGACGTAGAGCAGCAACGGCAGGAACAGCGTTTATGGAAATAAGAAATATACTGACAAATAGGGAAATAGCAACTAGCATCCGTATGAGAGCTCTCAGCTGTTTCATTCTACCAGCTCTGATGTGAATCGTGGAACATAAATAATAAAACGTCAAACAACATGTGGTTTTACAGACGCATGCTACGTACAGTATGTCTCATATGGACAGAATGAGCAATGAAGGTGTTTTAAAATTACTAAACACTACTTATACACTGATGAACAAAACTAGGGAACAGCAAGCGACATTTTTTGGACACGTCAGAAGGAAAGAGACGCTGGAGTTTGTTGTCACGACTGGAAAAGTTAATGGGAAGAGATGACGAGACAGACGGAGAATGAAAACGATAGACGGACTGTTATGGCTACACGTGGAACAGGAAACAACAAGAAAGCAAAGAAATGATCGCAGGATTTAAAACCCAAAACGTCCTTATGTGATGAGCTACTTCTGTAAATAATGATTTCCACCTTCTTGTCAGTAAGTCATGGGATGATTGTGAACCCACTGAGGCTCAAAACCAGGAATAAATGCACAATTCTACGTATGTTTCTGTTAGTTGGAGCTGGAGGATCCGGACGACGGCGACCCGGGCTACGCCACCAGGTCCAAACGCGTCGTAAAGCTCAAGTCCCACCGAGTCCGAGCGAAGAAGGACGGTCAGGGTCAGAGGGAGCCGCTGAGCTGCAAATACTGCAGGAAGACCTTCAGCAAGCTGCTGCAGCTCAAAGCGCACCAGGCCGTCCACGAGGCCAACGCAGAGAAACCCTTCAGCTGCTCCCAGTGCGGTCGAGGCTTTTCCTTCCAGAGAAGCCTCAACGCTCACATGTTGCTTCACACAGGTGGGCGGCCATCTTTATCCTCAGGACGACACATAACAACACAACATTAAGAAAAGTGTTATTTAATGTGTTACTGATACGGGAGCTGAAGGACTCCACAACGCTTATCACCTGTAAAGGTGCTTTGACGAACGTTTTGGGAAACGTTTGCGTAAAAACTGATTCCTGGTCGACATGTTTACCACAAAAAATATTTAAAGATTCACATCCAAGTGAATAACCTCACACCGTGTGTTTAAACATTTAAAACTGTGTTATTTAATTAGATTTGTTGTTGTTGTTGTTGTTGTTGTTGTTGTTGTTGTTGTGTTTGGAAACATCAAAAACTGATGAGTTGATCGACAGAATTAGTCGCAGCAATTCTGATTATTAGTCCGTGCATCATTTTTATTAACTTTTTAAGCAAACACACAACATTCACTGATTGTGGCCTGAAATATGTGAACATTTTCTCAGTCTTTGTGATAAATAACTGAATATTTTTTTGTTTTTAAAACTAAACTGGACTTTGCTAGATGAACATTTTCAGACCAGATGATTTATCAACTAACTGAGAAGATCTAACTGATAATGAAAATGATTTAAATGATTAATTAAAGCTAGACAAGATCTAACTTCCACCTGTAACGTGTTCGTCTGTACGCTGTGTGGTGGAGGATGCAGTGTGTACAGTGAGCGTTCACCAAAACTTGAACTAGTTGCCCGCTGCACCTTGAATTTTAAATTAATAGCAGCAAAGAAAGTCAACCGTTTTAAGTGTCTTAAAACTAAAACAGTTGCTTAGAAGATGCTGTGAGAGCTGCATGATTGCCCCATAATTCTCACCAAAACAAATGGTTTGTAGACGGAGCTTTAAGATTCAAATAACTTTGGATGGTTGGAGTTTGCTTTATTCTACCTGAGACGTCCTCTTTGTCCCGTCCAGGTGAGAGACCCCACACCTGTGACGTGTGTGGGAAAGGCTTCACCCTGAAGCAGCTGCTGAGGAACCACCAGCGTCTCCATGCCGACGTGCGGCCGTTTCGCTGCGAGCAGTGCGGCAAGAGCTTCTACCGAGCGCACGGCCTGAAGATGCACCAGATGGTCCACACCGGCGAGCGGGCCTACAACTGCCAGTACTGCAACAAAAGCTTCACCATCCAAGGCAACCTGCAGCGCCACCTGCGCATCCACACGGGCGAGAAGCCGTTCAGGTGCGAGACGTGCGGCAAAAGCTTCAACCAGGCCGACACTCTCAAAGGCCACCAGCGGATCCACACCGGCGAGCGGCCCTTCAGCTGCGAGACCTGCGGCAAGTGCTTCATCCAGAAGAGCGCCCTGAAGATGCACCAGAAGACGTCCCACCTGGACGACAAGTCTCTGGCCTGCGTGGCGTGCGGCGCCACGGTGGCCTGCGTGGACTCGCTGCGCAAACACATCCAGACGCACGCGGCCACGATCCCGTGCACGTGCGTGCTCTGCAGCCGGCGGCTCAACTCCATCACCGAGCTGCGGTCGCACCAGCAGCACCACACGGTGGACCGACCGCACAGCTGCGGCATCTGCGGGAAGAGCTTCAAGTCGTCCAGCTACCTGAAGATCCACCTGAAGACGCACAGCGGCGAGCGGCCGTTCTCCTGCGACATCTGCGGTCGCATGTTTACCCAGCACAGCAGCCTTAAGTCACATCAGGTAGGTTTGCATTCATGATCGGTCTGCATTCATTTACCACAACAAAAATCCCCAAACTGTTGTCAGACTCACACCTTAGTGCATGATGTCACACTTGTGCTGCTTGGTGCTCTGTGTGGTAACAAGACTTCAGGTTGGTGTGAAAAAGGAAAAGAAACTCACTATTCTGATCCTCTAAGGCTTCTGTTAACAGAAGCTGAGTTTCTAAACAGACTAAAAAAGGTAAAACATGCATCATTCTGTCACTAGTCTCCTGTAATGTTTCTCGTGGCTTCCTGCAGGACAGAGCCGAGGTACAGACGCCATGTTTTTTTATTCACGAGATTAAACGTCTCATCAAACTGTCCACACAACAAACAGCCGAGTTGATCTCTGATTTCCTAAATAGTGGAGCTGGAAGTTCAAGATTCTTTTAATTTATAATTAAAATAAACTAATGAAATCACTGTGTTTAAACATATGCAGCTCTCTCTCTCTGTGTGGAGAAGCTCATGTGGATGCTGCGGCGGTCTGATGCTCCAGGTCTGTAATAAACTCAGAGGAAATCGTCCGAAACAGCTGGAAGCAACAAACTAAACTGCCATGAGGGAGTTTAGGGGAGGGAGAGAAACCATTCAGCTGCGACTTGTTGTCACATCCTGATCTTATCTAATTAATGACTATAAGAATTTAATTAATTTACCGGCGGTGTTGCTCCAGTTACCAGAATGTGCACCAGTCTCTCATTCACACATATGGATCCTGCTGCTGTGTGAGGCTGCAGGTAGTTAATAAACTCAGCTAAAATAATCCTGAGCAGCTGGAAGCAACAAACTTCATCTCCTGAGTGTCGGTTTTTATCGCAGTCAAGTCATATTTTCTTCAACATTTGATTTTGTTGCCTAATAGATTTGAAATTTTAGAGCAGAGCGCTGAAAAAAATGTGTATTAAACGCTCTCTGTGATGTTTTTGGAGGAATACTGGTGCTGAAATATGGAAAAAGTCCTTCCCCCATGTGACAGTTCAGCTGCCGGTGCATGTCTGAAAGGGGCTTTAGACGACAACCACATCTTCTTTAGCAGGATTTTTTACTCGACTATGTGGAAGAACCCTCTGTGAAAACATCCAAGCTGACATCTGTTCTTTCCTCCGAAGGTGGTGCACACGGGAGAGAAGCCGTTCAGCTGCGACACGTGCGGGAAATGCTTCAGCAACACGGGCAACCTGAACCGACACCAGCGGATCCACACGGGCGAGAAGCCGTTCAGCTGCGACACGTGCGGACGCAGCTTCAACCAGGGCAACAGCCTGAAGGCCCACCAGCAGATACACACCGGGGAGAAGCAGTTCATGTGCGACAAGTGCGGCAAGAGCTTCTCCTACCTGAGGAACCTGAAGGACCACAAGTGTTTCTACGTCTGAAGCCTGCGCTGGAGGCAGAGCAGATAAAACTTCTCCGATGAGGACTAAATGAGTGAGTTTGCAGTGAAAGTGGTCGTTGTGAAGTTGGGACAGCATCACAGCATCACCGTTTGTACAAAGAGACTTCTAGTTCTTTGTCTAAATATGTTTGTCGACACAGTTTTTCTACAGACGTCACAAAAGTCTGGACACCGGAAGCTCCGCCCTGCAAGTTACCAGGAGGTTTGTGTTTTTGGGTTCACCTGCAGTTTCGAGGTAGAAAAGCTCGACCGTGCCGTTAACTGCCTTTTTTTAATTATTATTATTATTATTGCTCATGATGTTTCTTCCAGCATTTAAAAAAAAAAAAACACCATATGACTGTGTTCAGGTGGTAAACTCGGAGGAGATTTTTGATTCCGATCAGTTTTTTTTAACGTTTTCATCATCAGAGTGAGACTGAACTGAACGACTGACTCTTCTGTCCCTTTAAATATAACCGACTGAACACTTACTCATTCCTGTGCCAGACTGTAGACGTCATACGTGTGAACTTTCTTTGTGAAATGACTGTTCAGTGTGGCTAAAAAAACAGATTTCAGAGTTCGCAGGCCAGCGTGACTCTAGCTGTCGGAGGTGGCATCAACGGTTTTATCAGCAGTGTTCTGTGGGCAGCTGTTAAATTACATCCCTCATCTAAACCGTAATATCTAAAACTGTTGTTGTACGTAGCTCTTTCTAGGATTTTAAACGCCGTGACTGATATTTATAATGTTGTAACCGACTTGAAGAGTGTTTTACTGTCTTTTGCAGGTGACAAATACAGACGTAAACGAAACGCTGCTGAGCTCCTCTGTTTGCAGATTTACAACTTATTTTATTTATCTGTTCTCTTACTGAGAGTTTATCTGTTATCTCAGCTTTATGACTGCGAGTCAAATTGATAAACATTAAAACATATGTGCTGTTTCTTATATTTGACCTTCATAATGGATTGGAAGCAGCCAAAAAGAGCATCAAGCTTATTTATTTTCCATTATTACACTGCAAAACAATCTAATGTACACATGGTAATTGTGACGTTTCCTCTTTGAAATCTAACGAGGCGATGTTGGTGTCATCGCAGAAGCTGTTTGTGATATTTCAGAAGTTTTGCAGCCCTGAATGAGTTAAACGCTGCAGTCAGAAGTAAAGTGGAAAACCTTTCTGGCTCTGCATCGACACCGTAGAACAGGAGAGCTGTATCCTCTTGTTTGGCCTCGCATACGTCATCTCCGTCCTCCCCACTGCAGATGCGTTTAGGATCTGCCTAAGTTATGGAAATTTAGAGCAATTTCATATTGTTTGTGGTTTTACAGCTCGACGTTACATCCGTACGAACTCTGAAATGAACCCGTTCCAAGTCGGAGGATGAAACGGGATCAAATGCTGGCGTCATCTGGAGAATTTCTTCTTTTTAAGACTCCGCTGTCCCTGAAAATTAGTTTCAATCTGTTCACGGGGTCGCTTTTGGAAAGTCTGAGGCAGGAAGTGTCGGCATGAGCAAGTCAGCCAAAACATTAAAACCACCAGCCTCATGTTGCACAGGTCCTCCTTCTACTGCAAAAACAGGCTCAGGACTGTCCGTGCATGGACTTAGATCCTCTGGGTTGCAGGGTGGGACCGCTATGAGTTTTGCTCCTGCACAACTCACGGAGGCTCGAGTAGATTATTAAAGATACGATTATTAAAAAACATATTTGTGATTCAATACAAACGTAATTCTGCAGAAAATATGTCAAAACTTAACTGAGAACACAGCTCAGTTGTGTGTACATTTAAATGAGTGGAGATAGAGATCGCAGGTGGCCGGCAAAGTCGGCACAAAAGTCACAGAGCTGGAAGATCTTCTACAGATCAGGAAGAAGCAGCTGGAAGACCTGCAAGAGGTCGACAGGCAGAGAACATCCAACCACAACTCTGTCATGATGGGCGAAGAAGATGGAAACCTCCAGAAGAGGAAGATCACAAGCAGGCGATGGAGGCTGAGATGACAAAACTGTAGGAGGAGACTAAAACACTGCAGGAAAGAACGAACGTAATGGATGGAGAATAAAGAAAGAAAATCACGACCTCCAGAAGATAAGAACAAAAAACTGGGGAAAGAGATGAAAAACATGGAGTAAAACAAGGTGATCAAAGTGACTGCAATCAAATAAAGAGATGAAGACACTGCAGGATGACAACAAAGAAGAAAGAACCAAGATCTCAGGGAGGAGGAGAAAAAGGTTCCAGAAATAAAGAATGAAGAGCATCAAGATGTAAAGATAACGATGGAGGAGGACAATCAGAAACTTAAGGTGAAGCAAAAAAAAAAAAAGAGTTGGAGGCCAAGAATAACAACCTGCAGGAGGAGAACGCTGAACTGGAGATAAAGAATAAAGACGTCCAAGAACAAGAGGTGGAAATGGAGAAGGAGAAGAAAGTAACGCAGGAGAAGATAAAAGACCTGCAAGACAAGAGCGAGGACATGGCAGAGGGCAAGAAAACCCTGGAAAAGAGAACGAAGAGCTGCAGGAGCTCCTCGTTGGAGGACAAAGAAAGAAAAGAAGGAGAACAAGACTGAGTGAGCGTGACCTCCGTCTGACTCCCATCTTTGTGAAAATATAAAGTTTATAAAATGTGCAAAAGGTTTTAAAAACATACAGCGTGCAGAAATGATCCTCGATATCAGACGACTTTACTCAGACGATAAATAAAACTTGTTCCAAGCTGAGCCCTGCTGGACTCTTCCTGTCTGAGACAAACGGCCGTCTTCACCAACAGATGGCACCATGAACTAACCCCAGAGCTCAGATCCAGCTTCTGCTGCTGCCGGAGGAAACTTTCACCTCAAGACTGTGACGCTGGACAAAGAGTTCATTTTGTCATCATGTTTGTTTGAGTTGTTTTTAGTGGGACCCTCTTTAGTTTTTCTTAATGACGTGTAAAGAGGCTTTTATTCTGTTTATTTCCTTCTTAAAGTTCCTGAAGTGCACTTTTTCATTTCCATCCCAAACTCATCGTTTTAGTTGTAACCAAAGACCACAAACTGACCTGATCGGCCCTCATGGGGGGACGGAGCGGCTTTCATTTCAGACTAAAACCTTCAGCTGCTCACTACTGGAAGCTGGTAATTTAGCTTCACACCTCTTTCCTGACGGGTGTGTTCTGTTTTTTTTATTATTATTTGTTTGGTGTGTGCTCCCGTTTAAATCCCTCCAGATGACGTCAGCGTGCACATTTAGCAGCTGGTTGGACTGGCTGCCTGCAGCACTGACTGTCTGGCTGATCTGTACAGTAGGTCAGGCTGGCTGTAATCCCTCACAGATTACATTTCAGGGCATCGTGGGAGGAAGTGTGGGGGATTGGCAAAGACAACACTCGTTACTATTGGCCTCCTGCCAGAGAGAGGAAGAGGAGAGTGTGTGTTTTTATTCATGCTAAAGCCACGTTGAACGTTTTTACAACCTCAAAGTGGGAAGCTTTTTTTTTTTATTTGGATATTTTAGCCTTCTTTAAAAAGGATTCCTCACAGATTAATAAAACACAGCTTCAAATGGGGATATTTGTAGAATATTTTGGCGGAAGTATCCCCTCAGTTTGACCATAAACAGTAAAAGGAGGCACTTTGGAGTCTAAAAAGTCAGAAAAATCTGCTTAAATGTGCTTTAAAAAAGCAAATATCTGCTCAGGGTTTCCTGAGTTTGTTTAAATTTCAGGTACATCTCCACCTGAAGCAGGAGTTAAGCATTCTCTATGAGCTTCTTGATTTTTGGCAAGCTTCATTTCTGTTTTTGCAACATATTTAAGATTATTTTTTTTGTATAACAGACAAGCAAACAGAGAGCTGTTTGTTGTTTTGCAACGAGATCCATCACTGTTTCTGAAACATATTTAATCTCAGGTTGAAAGTGGGATTTTTGCAGCTTCACATCTGAAAGGAAGCGTTGCATTTAAGGTGTCAAAAACATCGTCTTGATGAAATTTTGGTCCAGATTTTCAACTTTTTTTTCTTCTTTAAAGCAAGTTAAGAATCAGAAATGCATGCTCTTAAGACTCTGCGTGATCCTGTGTGAGCGTGTGCATGTTTCTGAGCTTTTATCGGTGTGAGGAACTTTTTTAATGGCTGCTCTGCACGTCTTCAGGAGGCCACTTGAGGGTCGTTTCCCGTTTTTTGGGGGGAGGTTAGATTTAATTTAAGGTTTGGGTTAAGGTGTTGTGACTCACACACAAAAAACAACATGCGTTTGTTTGTGTGCTGGTGGCCTCTGGGTCAGCATGACTCACTGGCTGGATCGATCCCTGCTGACGTGCACAGAGCAGCACAAATCACTAGCTCTTATATGCACACACCACCGCATAACCCCTAAATGCAGAGAACAAGAGACTCCCCCACCACCACCACCACCACCACCACCACCCTTCCCTTTCCATAGCCCATTAGATATATTGACAATTCCACAGCCAGTATTTTTTGCTCTAATTGGTTTATGCACAGCTGACCGGGCAGCGCTGCTAATGATGCGGCGGTGCTCTGTAACACCGTGTTCAGTACAGCCTCTGTAATCCATGGAAATATGGACAGCTGTTCTGGTTGTTCTTTCCACCATCGATCCTCCTGCCGCTCCAGCAGCACTCTGCTCTCCCGCTGAAGCCTCCCTCTCCTCTCCTCTCCTCTCCTCTCTCCTCTCTGATGACAGCCAATCTGTGCTGCTCAGCTGCTCGGTCCAGTGTCAGCCCCTCCGTCTGCAGGGCTTCGGGTCTCTGAGGGTCTTATTCGTAACCGGGAAGTAGCAGCGAGAGGGCAGGATGAGGCCCTGGGTTCGTTCCAACAGGTCCAGATCAGTCCAGGTAAGACTGGGGTTTCTGATTTAGTTCGAATATTGTTATCATGGTTGAACTAATGCAGTCCAGTGAAACCGTGCAGTACCGCACCTTTCTGTATGAGGCACACAGCAGAACCTTTAAACAAAAACATTACAACCTTCATGAATTTCTTGCATTAGTTTGAACAGTTTGAAAGACTTTCTGTGAACCAGCTTTAACCCTATTCAGGATTTTGGGGGTCTTTTGGATCATTTGGTTTAGGTGACAGGTATTGGTTTTTTATTTTGCACATATTCTTTCTCGTATGGCAACATGAAAGTCCTGAACAGGTTTAATGCATCTACAGCACAAGATTTGCAGCTTTGTTCTGCACAAATCAATAAATGTGCAGTTCTGTAATGATTTTGCACCTTTGCAGGAACGTTTTTGGGTTTTGTTGGTGATTGTAACGTTACATTTACACCAAAGCTTCTCCCTACAGAGCAGAAGAGCTCATAACATCCTATATAACCTTTTTTTTTTGCACAAATTTTCATCTTTACTTCATGGATTTCCATCAAACTCCTCGGTTTCAGCTCTTCTTCAGGCTCGTTTACTAAAATTAGATGTGTGTTTTAATGTCTTTGTGGGAAACAAACACGAGCAAATGAGCAGGCGTTGACGTGTTCGGTGGGGTTCAGGACAGAGAAGCTGGGATCAGCAGCTTCGGTGGAGGTGAACCAGAATAGAGCTCTCCTCTGTCTTCACCTGCACGTGATGAGAGGCGAGCGGACAGGTGAGATAAACAAGCTCTGCAGAGTGTTGGAGTCGAGGGTTTTGGATGCTTGTGTTGGTAAACGTACAGGTTGCTGGGATGTGACGTTCACGGTTTACTTGGTGTCTGTTGCATGTGGTTTGTTTGAGCATTAAAAGAAAAATAAAAGCTCCACCGAATGCATCATTGGGAGACAGAAAAATGCTTTTTTTGATGCTAGAATGCACGTTTTTCAAGCTTCTGTATTTGATAAGCAGAAGCTGGATGAGGGTTTTGCTGCACAGATCACCTCCGTACCATCAGTAACATGATTTCTTTCCTTTGGCTCCTGTGCAATTTGACATTCTGTTAAGTATAGTTTTGGAGATTTGCTTTTTTGGGATGTTTATGTTCAAATAAATCAATCTGAATCCAGATGAGAGCTGCACCTTCAGCTTGTGGAGCTCCAGGAGATCCACGTTTTGCTTCAGGACACTTAAATAAGGCAGATGTGCCGCTTACCGTTACGGAGAGCTGAACCCAAATGTTCCCTCGTTGCCACTTTGCTCGCTCAGTTTGTCAGCGTGTCTCCTGCTACACAACCGTATCGTTAACGTTTTCAACAATTAGACCTGCTGTTCAATTAGTCCTTTAAATCGTCAATAAGTGTTAGTTCAATTGTCTTTAATAGGATTATTTGTAATCCTGAACTAACAAACCAAGATTAGGCCGGGGCAGATTTCTCGGTAGGAGGTCTCAACAAACTTCTGGGAACGTTAACACAGACACATTCGCTCACGGCTGCATTTCTTTTTGGGTTTTTTTTGGTATGAATGGAGTAATTGTGTCTTTAAGAACTGGGAGGGAAGGGAGGGTGAAGCGTGCTGTGTTCTGACGCTGTCGGAAATAAGATGCTCTGTATAAATATGCAACATGTATTTGGTCTGGGAGGAAGTTTCTAACAGATGTGATCTTTACATTTAGATAACAATTAGGGCAGAAAATTATTCACATGAAGCTGTTAATGAAAGTAGATGAGAGTGTTTAGGAGGCTGGCCTCTCTTTATCAGATGTCCTTAATTAACTGAGCTGTGTTGAATTCACTTCCCTCCTCACATGCACTGGCCCCTAAAATGGGACTCCAGCATCCTGTTTCTGTGAAGCTCTGACGTTTGGAGAACTCAGAGTCAGAAGGATGAATCAGCTCTCTGAAGGGCTTTTCTCAGCCTCTGATAATACAAAACAGAATAATATAGATACACAAGAATATAGCAAACTATAAAACAGAACATATACTTGATAAAAAATGGTGTCATACAAGCAGCAACCATCTCAGCGCTTCATCAACAAGCAGCTCGTCTCCTCACGGCTTCTCATCTAAGATAATTTAATCCAAAGACTTTCTGTTTTTCTTTCTGATTATTCATTGTGTTGTTTTCCTCTCTGAATGATGCACGTGTGTGTTTGTTTGCTCTGTAATAGAATTTTCTTGTTTTTATTGAAGCTTCTGCAAATTTGTCCGCATGGCTTTAATGCCAATGAAGCAAATTGGATTGAATTAGGAGCCGTCCGCCTCCAGCCGGCAGGGAACGTTCTCACAGCGTTGCCTGCGAGTTCTGATAATGTTACGGAGGAAACGCTTTAGTTTGATGTTGGAGAACCTTTTGAGCAGAGTGTTCCTTCAAGTTTAAGAGATAAACTGTAAGGTTGAGACGATGTTTGGAGGATGTTATCAGAACCACAGATTATATCACAGAACTTTCTCAAAACAACATCTTTAATAAGACGTCACAACATTGCGATATATCAACAAAGGTAGAACATTTTTTTCCTGCAATGTTCTAGGGATGTTTTTGGGATGTTGCTGAGAGGACAGAGTAGAGAACGTTCTTTTAATGTGACGCGATAACAACAAGAGGATGTTCTCAGTGCAACGTTTAGTTTATCAATGTCAGTTATATTGAATTGAATTTGCTTTATTGGTATAAAGGGTTAGGACAATATTATCAAGGCATTAATAAAAAAAAATATGACAGTTATAGTTACAGAACAAATCATGGAGAAAACACAAATACAACGAAACAGGATTCTGGGAATTAAAAATAAAAGTTCCCACTGAAAACATTTTGCAGAACTTCATCAGAACGTTTTAAGCTGAGATCCCACAAGCCCCTCAATGGTGTCTGAGAGAGCTCCAATGTGCACTAACATCTCATTTTCTCTGAGAAATTCATAGATTTCCGCCACCAGGAGGCGATAATGACCTTAAAGGAGAAAGGAATTGATGTTGTTGTTTCCCAGGAGGTAGAAATACAAACATCCTGTCACGAACACAACATAAACTGTTTATGTTTTTATTCATGTGGGTACAAATTAGTCGGAAAAAATAACGCAAAATTCAATTAATTGTTGCTTTAATTGGCACGGGTTAGTTTTGTGGGGTTTTCGGATTTTTCTACGGTGCACCTGAAGGCAGCACGAGGAGAGAGACGTGCGCGCGTACGTGTGCGCGGCCCCCGACGCAGCAGCAGCAGCAGCAGCAGCAGCCGTCCTGCCTTTTCTCTCCGCTGACGTCCGTTTCCCCCTTTTCTCTCCTGGTCACGGTGTTTTTCGGGAGGCGCACGGGGATTCCGGTTTTTTCTCTTCTCTCTCTCTGTTTTTTTTGGTTTTGTTTTGTTTCACGGTGAACCGACGCTGCGTTTCCGCCACGGGGGAGACGTTTGTCAGCCGACAACCGAATGAGAGCAGCTAAAGGGCGGACCGGACTGAGGCGAGGGGAGCCGGGGGAAGGCTGCACATCCGCCGCTTTCTTTTAACACAACTGCAGTTTGCCATTGATTTGTCCACCCGGGGCCCTGAACACCTCGCCGTGCCCAGAAATGCGCCCTGGGCTGGTTCCGGTTCCTCTTTAAGCGGCTGTGACAGCCAGAAATCTCACGTTAGCTAGCCGACAGGGACACGGAGGCTCCCCCCCTTCTGAACTCAGCCCCTCGGAGACCTCCTTTAACCCCCATCGATGCTCCTCCGGTTCTCCGCCTTTTCTCACCTGAACGCGATGGAAGTGAGCGCCGGGATCGTTTCGGTACAGATCCAGCCGGAGTCCACGGAGATGATCCGGTAGCGTCTGGGAGGGGATTTTGGGGGAAAGTGAGAAGCTGAGTGGGGGGTTCAGAGTGGGTTGTTTTCTTTAAATCCTCGGTTGGTACCGACTGAACCACACAGACATGAGGTGGATGTAGCCGAACACTTTGTTTTTACGCATCGGTTTAAGCTGGATCACGGTGTTGGTGATCCGTGCTGCCTTCACGGACCCTAACAATGAGGATTGTGTGAGAAGTGAAGCTCACACACAGCCAGATCCGGGGTTGTTTTTCCTTTTCTTTTTTTTTTCTTCACCCAGCGTGAACGCAAACCCACTTTTATTTTTCTTCCTGGAGCGCACTCAGGGACGAACATGTCTTTACGCACGGCACTGCCTGGGAACGAGCGGAACCCGGACCATGTAAGTAGATCATTAAAACAACACAGTTTGTCACCTTCGAGGTTTTTTATTATTATTGTTATTATTGTGGTGCTTTTGAAGAATCATCGTAACCCCCCCAGGGCCCTGAGATTAGTGTGCAAAGAGCAGCTGCAATCAAGCAAGGCGGCACAGACGCGCTAATCTCCCCACAGCTCATTTGGGACGGTCAGGATGGAGACGGGGGGAGGTTTGGGTGCTGATTGGACACGAACAGGGCAAAACACACAAATTGAACCCCAAAATAAATTAAAAAAAAAAAAATCGTCCCAGACTGTCACCTCCATCCACCGGTGTCTCCAGTGCGCATGTTTGTCTTCCCCCCACAGCTGATCAATAATTAATGCATCTGATGCAAGGCCACCCAGCCCTCTCCACACCCATGCACCTCCACCTCCACGCCATCCCTCCTGTTATTTTCTCCATCACCTCACTTGCAGCTCCACACCTCCTCCTCCTCCACCCTGTCTGCTGTGTCCGTCTGTCTGTCCAGCTTCCGCCTTGATGAAACTGTGACAGACAGCTCAGTGGGCAGCACAGCACTGCAAAATCTGCTGTGTCAGGCTAGCCAGGTTTGTCCTGCTCATGTTGTTCTGTGTCTGAGGCAGCGTCTGGGGGGCTTCAGTGGAGACATTACCTTGAGTTTATTGTCTATTTCTGTATTTTTTTAAAAGGATTCTTGTGAGAATTGGAGCCTCTCCCGATGTGTTTTGTTTTTCTTGCCACACAGCTGTGCAGAAGCTCCCCACCTTTATCTCAAGGGCACCGAGCTCACGCCGACCCCGGCAGCCCGAAATATCACTCAGTCCTTGTTGGATTTGAAGCTCTAACAAAGAGCTGCTTCCGTTTGCAGCAGCTGGCAAAATACAGAACACTTCCCTCCTTTTTTTTTAAAGGTTATTTAAAGGGTATGTCATCACCACCTCAGTCCCTGCATCCCATCCCAACAGTGGCTGCCACAGGAATTCAAACCGGGTTTTGTTTGAGGTGGGATGCTTAAGGAACGGCAGACATGAAGTATAGTTTTCCACCAAGACTGTGAGACTGTCAGATGATGGGAAATGCATTAAAACCGTACATCAAGGTCAGGTTCTTTCACTTCAGGGCCATTTCCTGGATGCATTTGGACGTCCGCGGTGCATCTTCCGACCTGCTGTGTGATGGTGTCCCTGACTCACTCTGAGCTGCTACAGTTAGGCGTTTATTACACGAAGCCCTCGCCAGGACCCGGAGGCGCTTTTTGGAGGTGTTTAGGTTCTCATGTGAACCTGTCGTGGCTGGTTCAGAAACACGCCCAGATGTGTAACTCCAAACAGTGACGCTGCAAATAGATGGAGACCTTTTTTTGTAATGATCGTAATTAAGAAACTGAGTCACGACAGCGGAGAGAAGTAGTTTTTAATTTATCTGCAGCATTTGTTTACTGAACAGGCAGTTTATGGGCACATTGTTTAGTGTTTTCTGTGCTGCCGGCGGATCCTTTTTTCCCCGGCTTAATAACTGTGAGAGCGATAAAACAGTTGCTCCTGACGCAGAGCAGTAAACTAATAATAGTGCCCATTAAGCGCTGGATGCTTCTTGGTCAAAAGTTTACTTTGTGGTTCTGTCAAAATCAGCAGCCGCGTAAACACTCGTAGGGAAAGGGATCTTCGCCCTCTTTCACAGCTTATCAGAGCTTTTTCCACGCTGGTTTTTTTTCATTTTCAAGTGACGTCCAAATGCGTTTGTGGCGTGTGAACTCCTCTTATTAAAGGGAAGGAGCTGTGTGGCTGCAGGCCGGGCAACAAGAGTGATTGCTCGAGCACAAGCCGCTCTTGTTAGTAACCTCACCATGGCAACGTCGAGGGGGTCCTCACCTCCCCCATCACTCCTCCCATCCCACCAGTTCCTCGCCCAGTATGGTCCAGTTCAACACAGTCATTCTCCTTCAGCGCACTCGTTGCCTCCTTCAGGCCTCGTCTCAGAGAGTTTGTGACAAGTTTTTTTGTTTTGCAGAAACAGGAGCTAATTTTAAAACAGAGACATAAATATCTCCACGGTGTCGCCTCAGAGCTCAACCTCTCTGGTTTTTTAAAGTTTAATCTTAATATTCTTTTTGTGCAGATTAGTGCTTACGTTAGAGGTCAGAAGTAGCAGAAAAACACGTGGCACCATGATGTGGACCCGCTGCAGGTGTTTGTGTGGTTAAACGTGTTGCTGCACGTCAGACAGAAAGTGAGGATCATTAGTTCTGTTTCACAACCTTCTGCGGAGCTCGACCCGAGATGTTCATCCTCCCACGGCGTTGTCATGCCCCGAGATCGTTATCGCCACGTCGAGTTATTAATCGGTCGCACCGCTCTTGACACGACTAGCCGGCGCTTTCACACCAGGCCTCCACCATTTGCATGTTTGTACTCTCTGTTCCCTCCATCGCCACTGTTTTGCAGTTCAGCCTGTTTTTCTTTTCCCCCCAACTGTTCTTCTTCCAAAGTCACAGATCTAAGGTCCAGTTCTGGCATCATCCATCTGTTTGTTCCTTCTTTCAACCCTTTGGAGTAAAAAACCAAAATGCTGCAGTTGCGTTTTGTATTCTTTAACTGTCACTTTAATCCCTTCAGAACAAATTGAGTTGGGTTTCCAGATAAAGATGCATCAAAAAATTACTATCAAACCTGCACAGTAAGGCACAGTTACATGCTTCTCCACAGGTTTCCAGGGTCTGACTATCATCTGTCTGATTGCGGAGTTAAGATTTGTTGTGTTGTTTTCTGGTCCGACTCGTTCGCAGCCCAACCAGCAGATAAGCAGCGTAATCTGGCACAAGAAGCATCGCCTCGTAATTGTAAAATAATGATATGTTGCATCATGACCTCATATTATTTCTCCTGTTTTTTGTTTGTTTTCTTTCTGTTGTCGACTTGCAAAATAATATCGTAAATCAACTCGTGTTCATATTCCCCTGTAGTTTCTTCGACTTTTAAACCTGCTCAACCTGCATCAGGCTGCGTTTTAGCTCCTCTGTTCAAACGCCAAAGATCGTAAATTACATTTTAGTGTCTTGTTCTGTATTTCTGCACTGACGGGATTCCAATATTTTTTTCCTAGAGTTGGAAAATTTACATTTTTTTTATTGTTTTGCATCTTTTAAATTACAGTGAGTTATTTTTTCTTTTAGAGACTCGACAGTAAAGGTCCTTACAAGTGCTGCAATAAGCGCATGCATGTCTGCGCTCTCTGCTTGCTGAGCTGTGGGAATGGACAAACTATTTTGCTCTGGGCCAGTCGTGAGGTTGTGTCTGTGTGAAAGGAGAGAGAAAAGGAAGTCCTCTGGTAGGTGTGGGTGAGTGCTTGTGCGCACATGCACAGCTGTGTGCGCCAACAAAAAGGCCAACATGTCTGTGTGTGTGTGCGCCACTGCAGGGCAGAGCCGGGCTTTTGTGTTCCCCCGGACAAGCGGGAGATTCACGAACTGGCTGTCCTGACATGTTACCAGAAAGCTGGCAGCCACCTCTGATGCACCCATTCATTTTGCCTAGAAACACCCCAGATACAGTCATAAACAGCTCCGGGCTTTTAATCATCTGGTCTGCTGAGGATAACCCAGCCATGCACGATTGCCGTAAACTGCTATTAGACAACCTGCGCTGCTCACGATGCTTTGCTGATGTGCATGTTCGCCAGCTTAACCGAAATGTGTTTTGAGTTACGGGTGCAACAGTAGCCCAAAGGTCAGAGGAGTGGGACGCTCACGGGGGGAAATTTCCGGCTTAAATCCCCCCCGGAGAGGCGATCGAGTTACCGTCTGTTCAGCCTCGACAGCTCCAACCAAAGTGCCCATGAGCAAGTCGCGGAGCCGCCGGGTCGTCCGCCGTGTCCACTCAGCAGATTTAGCTGTGAAAGTGTAAATGTGAAGCCGGGCAAGCTTCGGGAAAAGAGCTTAAGAGCTTACCGGGCCCTCCTGTAAATGGCTTGCTCAAGAGCATGTCAGCAGCAGGTTTTTAAGGAAAATTTAGGGATTTGCTTTTCCCGTTCAGATTAGCATGACTTGCATGTAACCTTCTGCATATCTAAACTGCACAAATTGCTTTTCCGTCACTTCTTCTTCTTCTTCTTCTTCTTGGTGTGGATTGAAGTAACTGCTGGGACGATTCACAGCAGACAACATTTTGCTGAAGCAGCTTCTCCACTTAAGTGTTTAATTTTTATTTTATTGCATCAGCCGTGGATGAATTACAAACATCACACAGACATTAAACCAACAAAAGCTAATTATTAAAGGTAAACGGTGTTTGATGGGGACACTGTTGGTTCAAAATCAACTGCGATAAAGCGAAAAAGCTCGATTACGTAATGCACCTTTAAAAAAACATGTTTTGTACCAGCAGTGTGATCCTGTGTGTGCGTGTAAAATCCAGTTTCTTGCATCTAATCCAGGTGGCTAAATGCAAAAATAATAATCAGGATCGGCCCCGTGATGATTCAAAGGGAAGGAACCCAGTATTAGTTAAAGAGGCGAAATCAAAACACGCGTTTAAACACAGTAATTAAACTTCGCTGGCACGGAATCCGAGCGTGATTGTCGCCGCTTTTTGTCAACACAAATTGTTTCCCTGCCAGCCGTTATGTAACTCTAGTGGAGAGGTGAGCCGACGACTGCTGAACAGGTGGCGCTGCCTGGAGATCGGGCTACCTGGTGAAGAATGACGCCGTTCACGGAGCAACCGTTAGCTGCCAGACGCACACACACACACACACACACATGGATCCCCGCGCTCGATCGTGGAAAACGAACCGGCGGACGAGCATAAAAGACGCCCAGATGCTGGCGGTCGGAGCGCACAGTCGGCCCGTTGTGCTCTTTGTGTAGCGGGCCTCTGTTTTGCGTCAGGCTCTCGGGTGTCGACTTACTGTCCTCGGCGGCTCTCTGCAGGCCCGAGCAGTTTAACTCGGGCGATATCTGCTCTTCCCGCTCTCCTGGAGCGTGTTTACATCTGCAGATG